TCTGGTTTGCCGTGCGCTAGAGATATTCGCGCATTGCCGGCAGCGTTGCGATTTTCATTGCGCTTTCGTGCAGCTGTCACGTCATCTCGTCCGAATGCTACTGCATGAGGTTCAAAATTTTAATGTGATCCCCTATTTTGAAAGACGTCGACCAGCTTAGGTGCTAGGCGCAGTCATGGCTGCACGTGCTTACGAGAGAGCATGGAGGCAGAGGTTTATAGTACGTTGGGGCGTATGTCTCTTCGAGTGAAAAATCAAACGTTGGAGAGTGCTGATTGCATACAAATGCGCGGCTTGAAGGAATATAGCTCGGATAGCTAAGGGTTACGTGTACGATTGAAGAAGTGAGTAAATATTGCACTAAAAAGTACAAAAAAAACAAAAAAAAGAATAAAAAACCGAGTACAAAATTTGAGTGAACATGTGAGCAAACACTGATGGAAAAAATAGCAGACGATAACGCGGCACGTTGTAAGAAAGTCATGGAGCATTCATTTAGCGTCAGTCGGTGTGAAAACAGCAAACTCCAGGAGTTTCGTTCGTGTCACCGACTGGTTTGACAAGTAAGAACATGTATATAACCTTGAATTATTTAGTCGCGCCCTTGTCACGCGAACACTTATAGCGAAAACAGCTAACTCCGGGATTTACTTTCGCGTCACCGACTGGCATGTTGCCATGTCATCCTCGTGTGACTACCAGCTGGTTGCCATCAGCAATACATGTACTGTAAGCCGAGTCGCACGCTGCGGTGGCTTTGTTACAGTTCCGTAGTGTATTCTTTACCTCGAGGGATTCCCCACCCCAGCGCCTCGAGTGTCGAGATCCGCTCCGCTTTTCGTGCCAGCCCTTGCTTTTCCGTCTCTGTCCCAACAACACCTCCCCCCCAAAACCCCCCACCCCCCTTGACCTGCCCCCATCAATTCCGCCCCTCCCTATCACTCCCATGTCCCGATTCTTCCCACGAAGCGCTGCCGCACTGTTGCTGCTTGCCTTACCGAGTCGCACTCTGTGGGTGTCGTCGTCGATTGGAAGACAGACCAGCCCTGCCCCACATTTCCGCTCCATTTCCCTATGTTTGTCTCCCTCCCTAGCCTTCCCCCTTCCCCCACACAAATTTCATCCCCCAGTCGCGTACGCTAGAAAGTACAGTACCCGTGAATGTCCCCCGCCGACCCGACCCGACCCTTCACCCTTCCTCGCACAAATTACAGCTTCGAGTCTCGCGCGCTAGAAAGTCAACGAGCCCCCCCGGGCACTCAAACGCGCACCAATCAGCACACGGTATATTTTCTTCCGCCAATCCGCAGCATGTCTTCATTCGCCGTGCTACGCACGCTCAGCCCCTCCTGCCCCTCCCCCAACGCTCCAGATCCATCCCGATTCCTTATCCACCCTCACCCTGGCATCTCACCACCGCACGATGCAGTTAAGGTGAAAGAAGCGCTTCGGCGAACCCGCCGCCCTTCCCCCCGCATCTCTGTTCTCGCAGTTCGCCTGTCTCAGCCCCATCGCCTCCTCATGTCCTCGTCCCAAGTTGCATCATGCCACCATCCAAACCAGCAACCAACCCCGATTTTGCCATTCCGTCGCTCGTGCAAGTTCAAAGCGTCTTCCTCTCTTGCGGACAAGAGCAAGCCATGTGGCGGTGGTTCCCTTCTCCCCTCCCCTCCCCACCTCAAGTCGAATACAGCAGAGCAAAGCGCAATTCCCCAAGTTCACATTTCCCCCGCTCCCCTCCCCTCAGTTGGTCAGCAGGCCGCCGACAACCATTCTCCAGCTGATCATCCCGAAGTGCTCTTTCCCACAATGCCCACGTAACTCGTCATTTGATTCATTCAAAGTTGACAGGCCATTCGCCCCGGTGGTTAGCTCACGCACCTAGAGGAAACCTGCAGTGCTGTGTGCGGTTAGTCCTAGGGGAAAGCTGTAACTCGCAGCTGCTAACCCCCAAGGATGAACCGACGGCCAGCACGCAGTGCCCGTACCGACTGCCGATTCGCGTTGCCGTAGAAAGCGGAAACTACCTTGATAATCTGCAGCCTCGCTGGCCAGCCAATATCCTGAGGTGCCCGAGCGAAAGCCTCAGTTCCATTCACCAAGCCACGCATTTGCCAGCGGTCCGATTGGTCGTACTAAAAATGACCACCATGCCACTCCCCACAATGCTCGTTCGCTCTCGCTCCCATTCCCAAGCTTATCCGTCCATCTCGCTGTTCGCGACCCGCAACCTTCCAACCCTCCTCCTCTTCCTGATCGTTGCTGTCGCACGTTCCGGAACCACATTTGCGAACGCCGTCGACGATAGCTGGTACAACCGCAACGTTCGCCCGGACCCGAACCTCTCCGCTGTACCGAACGCCGTCACACCGACCGCGCAATCGTCCTTGGACGCGTGCAATGCCAGGACCGCACCCTTTCTCAACGACTCGACTTATCCGCGGCCGCCGTTCCCCACGCTTTGTCCGTCCGAGGGGCTCTTTGAAGTGTGCTACGTGAAAGGTGAGCTCGTTACGAAAACAGAGGTCGGATCAGCGAATGAAGTTTCGTGTTATGCTTACGTGAATGGGTGGTAGCAGTTGAGGTGCCGAAGATTCTGTCAGAGGTGTCGCGGACTGGTATGAGGTGTCAGCGATCAAAGATCAACCGTGGGGGGGGGGGATATGAATGACGGTGGGCTTGGCTGGGGACGAGTTACGTCTCTTTCTGATCTATACTAGGACATGCGTCGTTGGTGAGACCAGATTGAAGAACCTGTTAGAGTACATTGTATCGCTTTCAGTCTGTAAAGAAAACTAAGCAACCAGAAGTTGAGCATTGATCATTATCCCACCCTCTCCGTCCCCCCTTCCCTCCTTTCCCCGTCCCCTTTTTGTGATCCGCCCCCCGCCCCCCGTGTTTTCCCGTTAATCCAATACCCAGGACCCATTGCCTTCAACATCACTCCAACGTTCATTGGCACCAGATGGAAAGGATGGGGGACCTCGCTTGCATGGTATGCTGCGATTCAGTCGTTGGTGAATAGAAATTCTGTTAATATATTGCCGTCGTGGAAGAAAAATAGGACATGCCTTGACTGACCTCTCCATCATCAAGGGGAAAACGTGAGATCCTGGTTGCACGAGATGTTGGAAATGGAAAATGCGAAACCATCAGGTCATCTTCTTGTAATTTCTCCCGTTTCGAAAACTTATTCTCAAGGACCCATTTCCTGTTCTGGATGCAGGTTTGGGAACTACATTGGCGGATTGCCTGATAAGCGCCTCAACACGCTCATGGATCTGATCTTCAAAAAAGAGGGACTCAACTTCAACATCGTCCGTTACAACATCGGAGGGGGTTTCAACGCGCGTTTCAGTCCCCAGTTCCTCACAAGAACGATTTCGGACTGGAGGGGTATTCCAGGATTCAAGCCCACACAAGCTGCAGCCTACAATTGGCAAGCAGATAGACGTCAGAAGGCTGTTTTGTGGGGAGCACGGAGTCGCGGAGCGAATATCTTCGAAGCTTTCTCCAACAGCCCTCCCTGGTGGATGACTCACACGCGTGACGTGGCAGGAGCCACTGTAGCAACCAAGACCAATCTGCGGCCAGAGCACGAGTCGTCATTCGCGAACTACTTAGCGGACGTCGTGCAGCGATTTGCCAAGGATCCGAAGTGGAACCTTACGTTTGATACGGTGGATCCGTTTAACGAGCCGCTCGAAGGGTTTTGGAAGACAGGCGCTGCGCATGAAGGATGCAGCTTCCAACCTCCTGAAATGGGACGCGTGATTCAGAAAACCACCATGGCTCTCAAATCGAGGGGGCTTAGAACGAAGCTGGCTGGAGTCGACAGTTGGTCTTATCAAACGACCGAGAATCTTCCCAGGGTAGCTGGGAGAATGTTACTCGAGAGGATCAACATTCATTCTTATCTCGGGACACCCCCTGAAGGTGTATCTCACCCTCGCTGGACAAACCTAATGTACGCTCGGATGCGAAACGTAGCCAAGAGAATGAAGAAGGAGGTTTGGGTGTCAGAAGGCGGGCCAATCGGATTCGGGGGACATCCGTTTGACGTGACGCTCTACGTGGCTCGGCAAGTCGTTGAAAGCATCAATATTCTTGAGGCCTCGGCGTATGTGTACTGGCAAGCCGTCGATCCACACCCTGCGTGGACGTTGATCAAGATCCCTTGGGAGTATCCGCTGGGAAAAGCAGCTGCCGAGTTGAAAGATCAGGGGATTGTGTTGGCGAAGCGTTACTGGGTGTTTAAGCAATTTTCGAAATATGCGCCGCAGGGGAGCAGGCCGCTGAGAGTCCCATACTCGTGCTGGCATTCCGTCGCTGCTTTCTACAACGAAAGGTACAATTTCGTGAGCGTGTTTTTTGTGAACCAGAAGGCGAATAAAGTGAAGCTGAATTTCGGTTTGGACGGGTTCAGCACGAATGTTGGGAATCCAACGACGGTGGTTGCGCACAGAACCACTTGGAAAGATTCCTACGCTGAAGCACTTATATCGAAAGGTAAGTCTTCTGTTACTGTGACTTTGGAGGGGCAGAGTTTCGTGTCCCTCGTTTTTACCAACATTGCGTTGAAGAAGCCATTGAAGAAGGGGAAGGGGGGAATAAGTAATTAGGTAGGATAATCCCGAGGCAGTTTTTGCTTTGATACAGGCTAACATTAAGTCAGCCTTGGTTCCAGTGGTCTTGGACATGGAATTGACCGCCATAGTGATGTATTGTAATGAGTTATTTTCAGTATGACACCACACAAAACACAAACTACTCTTCTTCGTCTCCCTGTTGGAGACTCGAACAGACAGCATACATTCTCATATAATATACAACTCTTCTCAGTCTGCATTACCCAGCTCCACAATCGCAAGGTCATGCACGTGTTTGGCACCCACCCATACCCAGCACTAACTTGTACAGTTCCAGTCCCGTCCAGCCAGCATACATTTGTATATGGTCTATCTCAAAAGCATACAATACAACAAAGACATAAGCAAAACTCACTTCTTCCCTTTCTTGGGAATCTTACTCAGCTTCACAATAGCAGGATCATGCACGTGTTTAGTAGCCATGCTCACCACCAGCTTGTACAGATCCGGCTCCGGGCGGTTGAAATTCAAATAGTAGAACCCATCGTCGATTCGCCGGGGCCCCACATCTTTCCTTGGGCAGCTCTTAAAGCCACTGATGCTGGTGAAGAGAGATGAGCCTGTATTCACCCCCAGGTCGTCGTTTGCATAATCCATAAACTTTGCCCCAGGAATGTCGGTGAGGTTCACCTTCCTCTGATCATTTAGAGGACCCGCCTCCACAGTAGGTAAGTTCTCGCAGTACTTGTAACCAAGATCTCTCCCCTCAGTCTCCACCAAGACAAGGTTTTGGTAGTTTTCTGTGGGAAGGCCGCTGCACGCCCCTGTTTTCTCTGCAGGCAACGTTCCCTTGGCTTTGGTGTTGCATGGCTTGCCGTTGATGTTCTTCTGCCCGCAAACATCAGGCCAGAAAGGGTATTTCTGAAAGAGGGGCAGACAAAAAAAAGAGGGAAAAGGAGGGCGACTGCAAATGATCACTTCACATCATATCACATAAGGGTGGCAGAGATATTGTGATGTGAGCATCCATTACCGTAAAAACAACACATGGCACTGCAAGTGCTGGCTCTATCCCTCATGGAATTTAACGGCCGCATATCGCTCGCTCCCCTCTACGACTAGAATGTCAGGTCCACTGCTTGCATATCACCCCCCAGCACGTGCCTCTTGGTGACATCAACGTCGACTCACAGTCTCAGGTGCTTCTCAGGTGTTTCCTCAGGTGTTTCCTCAGGTGCTTCTCACCTCTCTGAACACTGGTGTGTCGTAGTACTGTTTGCGCATGAGCTCCCAGTACGTGCCGGGGTTCTTGTCGCAGTTGAGCACTGTTGGAGTGAAACACGTGCTCCACCCTGGTGAGCCTGGTACCTTCTTTATGATCACACTCTCAATAGAATTCCTGGACGAGAAAAAGGAACAGACACATCAGAACATGAAAGTGGGTTATTCCCAGGAGCCCAGACCTTATTTACAGTCACATCCCAAAAATACATCATAGCCCAGACATTCGAAATAGCGGGATGGATGGATGGATGGATGGATGGATGGATGGATGGATGGATGGATGGATGGATGGATGGATGGATGGATGGATGGATGGATGGATGGATGGATGGGTGCACGTACCACTTTCCGTTGTTGACCTTGATCCCATCGTACGTGTTGATGCATGCACCCCCCTTGATAGTCACACCCGAGGTGACAAAGTCGAGGTAGTAGCAGTGGTCCCCGTTGAAGATGTAATTGCACTCCGCCGTGTTGTCTGTGGAGGGTGTAGATGGCCAGAGAGGGAGGATAACAGGGAGTTCAATAATGAAGCGCCTCAGATATCAAGGTAGTAGCAGTGGTCTCCATTGAAGATGTAATTGCACTCTGCTCTGTTGTCTGTGGAGGGGAATAGAAAGGCGGGCGGATAGCAGGGAGTTTGTTAATGGAGCATGCAGTCTTCATTGGATCGACTCAACCTCCGTACAAGGAATTAACCAGACCCCACCAGACTGAACCGGGCCGTACCAGGGCTGAACCAGTGCACGCAATAGTAGATGCCAGCTGCGTCCTGATCGCCGGATCTGTTCCGCCCAGCAGCGACGACGTGGTTGCGGTCGATCTGCGTGAGCATGCAATCCGCGGCGAAGTGCACGTCTGAGCCACAGCGAATTCCCGCGAAGAGAAAGTCGTGCACATAGTTGTTTCGCACGATCGCGCCGATGGTTCCGCGGTGGATCACGATTGGTGTGTGGACGCCTGCGAGGAGGGGAGGGGAGGATGTGGGGGGGCGGGGGAGGAAACGGGGCGAGAAGTTGTATGGGATGCCCGCGAAAAGGGGTAGAGGGTGGAGGGGAGACAGATTCGAGGATGCGTTACACGGTAACACGCACACTGCTAACTCCATGAAAACGTCTGCGGAAACGAAAACACGTTCTCGACCACTCACCGTAAACTTCGTTGTTCGTTATAGCGATGAAGGATTTGCCGAGCGTAGGCCCGTGTCCACTGTACGTAACTTGAATCACGCCAGGCGACTGGTTGAAGACGGGTATCCCGGTTACCCGCATGGAGTCTACTCGCGACGACATGGTCCGGTGAAGATCAATTCTTCCAAATACACTCCCCTTCGCGACTTGAATTCCGTAAGATCTGATAATAGAAATTGTTGGGCACTGTGCTTTGGACGTTACTTCGGGTACTGTAGTGCAGGGTGGCGACGACGTGCGAACGCTGAGCTTGAAGTCGATCTTCAATACAAGCACGTTGCTCGTGTTCCATATCCGCAGTACTGGCTCATTCGCTCCGGTATGAGTGATCCCAAACGGAACCGCTGCGGTTTTCGGAGATCGGAGAATGGTGCACGAGAACTGGCTGTCGAACAGGATGCCCTTGCTTATAATGAGGTTCTTTTGCAGCTCCAGAATGACCGTTGTAACGGGGCTAAACTGTAATCGCTTGCTGAAATCAGCTACCGTGGATATGTTGATCACGGTAGCTGCTGCGTAGTCGGAGCAGGGGCCATCCAAAAAGGCGTCAGCTGAAGGATAATGGGGTTTGAAACATAAACGGGGTTTCGTTGGTTGAATGCTATGTTGGAAATACGAATGACACTTCAAGGAAAAAATGTGGAGATAAACCGTGCTAACTATGAAAGGTCAGTTAGGCTGTGGAGCCGTGAGTGGAGACACGGGGAAAGAAGACCGATGAGAGCGTTGAAGCATTGCGAATATCTCCCGTGACTACAGCGGAAAAGGTGACGAGCGCAAGGCGAAAGGTGAAAGGTGTTTTTATCACAGAAGACTCAAGGACTCACCCATTCGCCTGCGCCCCATCTGAATATCCTCGCGCGCCTCGTGTGCCAGCCGTTTTCTCGAAGCGCTCACTCCGGCAGCGACGGCGGGACGCTTCAAGACAGCTCCCTCCGCTTGCGACTCCCCTTGCGACTCCGCCTGCTTCTGCGGCTGCGACTCCCAGGTCTCATTGCCCGCCGCGAACGAAGAAGCAGACGATAGCGATGGGATTGCCGCGTTGTTCGAGTTCAGGTCAGCAGCGTCCTGATGTGGACGCGTCAATGACGGCCATTGGTCCAGGAAGCGCCAGAACAGTCCGCGGTACTTTGCTACGTCTGCGGAAGAGGACGGCGGGGGAGAACAGCCAGGGGTGGGGGGGAAACGGTGCGCAGATGGCGCGGAAACGGCGGGAAGAAGGTGCGGAGAAGGCGGATGGGAGGGGCGAAGCGGGGAAGAATGCAGGGAAAAAAAGGGGGGATGTGGGGAGGGGAAGAAGGAGGAGATGGAGAAGGTGACGGGGAAGGCATAGGTGGGGGAGGGGGAGAAGCGACGAGAGCCGATGGGTGGAATGGGAGGAAGTAGCAGGTTCGAATAGGGCCTGGTCTATCAGTTGACAAACCGTGAAAGCCCACAGCGGAGGGTGCGAGTGGAAGGTGCGGGTGGGAGGGCGAGAGGGAAAGCGAGAATGCTTCATATGAGCGGGTGTATGAGGGAGCCTGCTTTCGCGTATGAAACCGCTAAAGAAGAGTAGTAGAACGACTTCGACGCACACTGCGGGAAGCACATACCTGAGGGAGCGAAGGCGAGGGCGGGAGAGAGCGCGAGAGCGACGGAGAGGCAGACGAGAAGCGAGAGAGGAACGTCACGCAGCTGCGTACGACGTGTCGTCATAGCGAGCGAAATAAATAAGGCGATTCCGCAGACCTGCCGCCTGCCGCGTGGAATTTATGCCGTGCTCTGAGCCGTTCCTCAAAGGTTGATATGGCCTGGTAAACGGTGAGTATGTTCCCAAAACCAGTGCGAACGATGGGCTACTGCGGCGGGGAACGCATTTCGTAAAGTTCGGAGTAACACAGCCTACGCGGCGAGGCTTCACCCTCGGTGTCTATATGTTTCGTCTGCGGAAGAGGGACTTTCTCGTTGCTTTTATGCCGTGGGGACGGAATGGCTGACTGCGACGACCAGGTAATCCGGAAGTTATGCGTTTCCTTGAAACAGGAAACCTAAAAAATCGAGGACGGACTAAGCTGCCTCAGAAGACGCACTGGCGAGATTAGTAAAGGAAGAATCCTGATAGAATGCTGCAGAGCGCCATGAAGTTGATAAGTTAGAGGGGGTTGGGGAGGAAGCCAACCACTTCGGGCAGGATGAGTTTGATACGCTATGCTTGATTGGCTGTTGTGGTGATGCGGTGTTGTGGTGATGCGGTGTTGTGGTGATTCGGTGTTGTGGCGAGTGGGCAGGCAACACGCGCACCTGCGATTCTGGATGGATGGAGAATGCGGTCAGGTTTGATATGTTGTTTCAGTGAAGTCAAAGCCGCCGAAAATTGCGCTTGTTGGATGGGGCTGGTCCTGAAACCCTGATCTCGAAAAAAACAGCTGAAGAGGAACATGGTTGTTGCTGGCTCCCCTCGGAGTCTCTTCAAGAAAAGCACTGTGCACCCACAAAGTCTTCCTCAAACGCATTGCATGATGCCTGAGTCGCCGTGGCGAACATTGTTTCTTGCACTATGCTGGGATAAGTTACTGGGTATGGCGTAAGCGAACTAGTTTTGCGACCCAAACCGTCATCGTCATCATTGTTGACGGAGGTTCTTGCGGGGAAGGGAGGAGCAGATCAGGTGGACCTTCAGGAGAATATGCGAACAGACGACCCGCAGGTGCGCGCCTATCGCGGTCTGTTGGAGGGGAACAAAATTCAGCTTCGGGTATGATTTGGTACATGGTTTCCGCGTCAGAAGATGCGTCTATACCCCTTTTGAAACCTACTGGTGTTCACTTGTAAAAGTGAATGCGTGTGCAAGGGAGAAGGTGCACCCAGCAAACTATAAATAGTGGAGAATTTACAGATACGTTGCACCATGGTACAACCGCCAGAAGTTCACTCTAAGGAGTTGTCGATGAGATGGTTAGATCCCATAGAGAGCAGCATATAAAAGCCAGCGGGTCTCGGGATGTTATAGTTCCAAAAGTACGAATTGAGCGATAGCCTGCGAGGACCAGAGTATCTTCTCAAGCAGCTCTTAAATCTTGGTCGGAACTTGTAGAGCAGCGAGCTAGTCTTCAATCCAAAGTCATGGCGGCGGAGATTCCGGAAACCGGCCTTCTTCGGGTAAGGAATGGGGATCTGCGTCAGGTTGCTCAAAATGTCAATATTATCGACTGCTATGCAGTTGTCGTAACCCATTGACTCGGTATTGTTGCTGATGGTAACCACGTCAATATTATTTTCCGTGGGCAGCCCGCTACAGTTGCCGGAGGTTGTAGCGTTAAGGCCGAAATCAGGGTTGCAAATCATTCCCCCGTTCACTTCGGTCTGGGTGCAGATTTGCTGCAGATACGAGTAAGCCTGTATGGAGGGAAGAGGGATTGGGTACCACGAGGGATAGGAGGGTGGAAAGGTGTGGCAGGAGAAAAGAATAAGCTTTGAATGATAATTTGGGAAAATGCACATGCTCAAGTGATTCCTGACTAGCTGCATCAGAGAATTTCATAAATTTGAATTGTATAAAACACGAAGAATGTTACTCTCACGGCCTAACAACCTGTACCGGAGTAGAACTGCAGGTTGTTAGGCCGTGAGAGTAATGTACTCTCAATTTCATTACTGCACAGTAATGTACAACTGCAGATCCGAGAGAGAGTATAGAACGGACTGTAACAAGCTTACAGTGTTCATTGCCCGGGAGTCGTAGTATTTGAGCCGCATGGGTTTATTAATAGCATCCCAGCTTCTTGAGACAGTTAACGGTGGAGACAGTAGAAAACAATAATAATGAGCTTACAGTATTTATAGCAGCGGAGTTGTAGTATTTGAGCCGCATCGCCTCCCAATAGGACCCTGGCTTCTTGAGACAGTTAACGGTGGAGACTGTAGGGCAGGCGATTGACCCTGTGGTTCCAGGCACTTCATTCATTATCACATGCTTCACAACGTTCCTGAAGCGGCGAGAGTGGAGGGGGCACGAAAGGATTGCTTAACAATGCTTCACATCATCTGGAGCACTGTAGGGCAGGCGATTGACCCTGCGGTTCCAGGCACTTCATTCATTATCACATGCTTCACAACGTTCCTGTAACGAGGGTTGTGGAAGGTGGAAGGGGCAAGAAAGGACGTGCATTGGACCACATGTTAGAGGGCCCTACGACAGCAAGGGCCCTCGATGACCTTTGACTTGGCAGGTCGGCGCCTAACGACTGAGTTTACTCGGCACCGACGCACGAGTTCGGTGGCGGTCATTAGTGACTACGGGTGACTGTGAGCTACTGCAGCGAACTCGGCGGAATCGGTGCTAGGAATGACGAGTCTTGGGGGTCGTAGGTGCCTTGCTTGTGAGGCACGCTGCTCACTTGCTGTGTTGGCAGGAGTAGCGTGCACGGTGAGACATTCCGGTGCCGAGTTGGGTTGGAAATGTGCGGGGCGCGTTCACCCACCTGCACAGCACTTTCGTGTGGGTTGGGTTACTCGCAGCGCCACGCAACAATTGTGCAACTCTTGCTTGCCTATATATGTTTGTGTTTGCTTGTGTGTTTGATAATTGATATTGCAATTCTACTTGGCCCAAATGCTACTTCAATTCTCACAAAGTCCTTAGAGGCAAACGCTACCAAAACTCTACCAAGTTGCTGGCGCAACATCATTCCCATAGCAGAGACTCTCTCGCTATCGCTACGCTCTCTAATATATTCCTTCATGGTGCGGTGAGCGTGGAACGAACACGCATAGATTTCCGTCGTCGTTGATATTCGCGTTCGTATACTCGCCTTGGCGTGCGGCGTTAGTGAAGGGCGCTTATTAATCTAAGTTGAACCTCTCTTGATTTCCCTCCAGTTACGTTCTCGGACCCAAGGATAGGGCGTTTGGTAATTTATTACCACTCGTGTGAGGACCCTTGTGAGGTGACCCCGAGACGAGGGATTTAAGGAAGGGGCACTTTATTTTAATTTGTGGTACCTTATAGAGACGTCGTAGAGGATGAGTACAGAGGAGGCGAACGTGGAGGCCGGTAATTTGCGCGCCCTAGAGGAGGATCTCGTGGCTCGTCATTCTCGTGGTGAGATTAGTGATATCGAATACGAGCTAATGTTGGAGGGATTGCGCTCGCGTCGGCGTCATGAGCACCCTTCGCCACGTGTAGAGAATGTTGAGCAAGTTGCGGGAGGTACTAGTGCGTGGGATATGGCTGTCGATGGCGGAAATAGCGATGACGAGGAGTTTGATGGGTTGATGTCGCGTGGGGTCCTGCGAGGACCAACTCGGTTTAGTACGGCTAGCGTTGGCGGTGTACAGGAGCGTGTTCATCGTGCAGCAGCGTCACGAGAGCATGCGAATGTAGGACGGCGGAGCGTTGCTGGAGGAGGAATTGCGGAAGAGTTCGATAGTGAGGCTTTATGCGCACGTACATGGCGAAGGACGATCTGTACATCGGTCAGTTAGAGCAGGCGCTCACTAACCTCGAGATGGGAGAGCACGAGTCCGCTACGTCCTATTGCAACCGTGCGCAGCAGATCCTAGTGAACCTGAGGATGGCCGGCGTAGATTACTCGCAGGCGTCGTACATCACTCACGTTGTGAAGGGGTTGCCGCAGCAGTACAACCTCTTACGCAGGATGCTGAAGTTGCCGCAGGTTCGCAAGGAGTTGGACGAGGACACCCTCGCTAGCTACATCATCGAGGAGGAGTGTACGCTGGCGGCAGAGGGACGAAAGGACCAATTTCTTCCCCAGGCTAACCAGGTCTTTACCAAGAAGGGTAAGCCCCAATTCCAGCAGACTTCATTCCCTTCCCCTCCCACTACGGCACAGCAGCAGCAGCCTAAGAATGGGGGTGGGCTTGGTGGGGGAGGGGAGAAGTGGAAAGGGGGTAAGGATGGCCAGCCGAAGGGGGGGAAAGGGGGCTTCAAGGGGAAGTGCTATGTGTGTGGACAAATAGGGCATGTTGCTAAGTACTGTCAGCAGCGGGCGGATAAGGAGGCAGACACCGGTGGAGAGGGTTCTGGAGGTAGCAGCGGAAAGGGGGGTGATGACTCTAAGGGGAGCGGGCAGTCATCATGTGCGATGGTGAAGCCAGTTGTGGAGCAGACTCCTCTCGTTGTGCTAGAGCCTGAGGCCGGGGAGGGCTTACAGGCTGTTGCAGCTGCTGTGAAGGCGAACCCGAGCGTCGTGCTGCTTGATAGCGGATGCTCCCACCATCTCATGGGAGATCGTTCTGCCTTTGTGGAGATGAGCAGCGGCGGCAGCATTAAGCAGGTTACCGGCTTCAACGGCGCCCTTCAGGAGGTGCAGGGGCGAGGCACAGTCGCTCTTCTTGGGGAGGGGGGCAGGCGTGTCTTGGTGCCGGACGTGCTGTACGTACCAGGAGTGCAGGCGAGTCTTCTCTCTGCTGGGCAGCTGCGTGATAGTGGTGTGCAGCTGCTGGATGCCGGGGATGTGACTTTGCTGCGGGCACCAGATGGATCGCTCCTTGGTCGTGCGGAGTTCAAGGGGCGTGTTCTCTGCACGAACTTCCAGCCGTGTTCGACGCAGCAGCAGGAAGGCGAAACGGTGGCACTTCGTACCTTGGCGACGGGCGTACGGTCGAAGGGGGACCTGTGGCATGCGCGTATGGCACACGTTGGTATTGATGCCATCGAGCGCACAGCGGCTCACGGGTCAGTGACGGGCTTGGATTTGGAGAAGGGGGGCAAGTCAGGCATACCTTGTGTCTCCTGTGTTGGGGGAAAGATCACTCGTCATACCTTTCCTTCTGTAGGAGAGGAGGAGGATGAGTTGCTCGGGGTGGTGCATGCTGACCTGTGTGGCCCTTTCCGTGAAGCAGCTAAGGACGGCAGCCGCTACTTCTTGGTGCTGAAGGATCGCAAGACGCGATATGTCTGGGCCTACCCTTTGGCCAAGAAGAGTGATGCGCTGGCGGCGTTCCAGAAGTGGCTCCCGATGGCAGAGCGACAGTGCAAGACCACGGTGCAGGCGCTGCGCACTGATCGGGGTGGCGAGTTCCTGGGGCACGACTTCACGCTCTTCCTCGACGGTAAAGGCATCCTCCATGACCTCACATGCCCGTACACGCCGGAGCAGAACGGGATGGCCGAGAGGGAGATGCGCAGCATTGTGGAGGCGGTGCGGACGATGTTGCTGCACATGGGTGTACAGCATCACTGGTGGCACCTGGCGTTGGCTCAGGCCGTCTGGGTGCGCAACCGCGTGGAGCACGCCTCACTACCCTCTGGTGTGACGCCGTACGAGCTCGCCTTCCGACGCAAACCTGATGTCAGTATGGTGCGTGTTTGGGGCTGCATGCTGCAGTACATGGTACCACAGTCGCAGCGTGAGGGGAAGCTGGCGCCTAAGGCTCGGTGGGGGTGCACTTGGGTGTGTCAGCTGCGAGCAAGGGCTGGGCCGTGCTGGACTTGGAGTCCAACCGCCTCATCACCACTGTGGAAGCTGTGTTCTATGAGACCATGTCCCTAGCAGGATGGAAGGCTTGGCATCAGCAGGAGCATGGGGGGCGTTCGATGCCCTATGAGCCCCTTCCCTCACTCTTCCCGATCACTCTCGAGGAGGCGGAGGAGGAGGAGGAGGTGGTCGCACCTCCTGCTATGCCCTATGTCCCTACCTCGGTCCCCACCCCACCTCCGCCTTCAGTCTACCCTCGTGTGATTCCCCCTGCCCCGCCTTTTTCCTCCTCACCCCCCTTGGCTTCCCCTCCTCCTCCTGTTATTCCATCTCCCCTTCCACCCTCCATCCCTCCTGCACCTGCTCCGCCCTCTTCTTCGTCTTCCACGGCGCCGCCCGTTGGTGAGGGGGGGATGGAGGTGCCACCGTCTGTGGAGATCACCGACGGGCAGCGCCTTGAGACTGAGCAGCTGCAGGACGAGAGCAGTATGGATGGAGTACAGCAGAGTGGGGGGCAGGAGACAGGGGAGCAGCAGACAGGGGAGCAGCAGATTGGGGAGCAGCAGACAGGGGAGCAGGAGATGTGGGGAATTAGAGATGGTGGTCGTGTGTTGGTTTCTGGGACGACCACTGCACCACTGCGTCGCTCCACTCGCATCACTCGTGGTGTCCCGCCTGTTCGATACGCTTGGGCTGTAGTGGTTGAGCCAGCGGGCTTGGATGACGAGGAGGAGGACGAGGAGTGGACTAACCTGGACCCGGACGTGGCAGCTGATCCTGAGAGGCAGTGGGACATAGCGAAAATGACAGTGAAGGAGGCCTTGGGCTGCTGGAAGGGAGACAAGGTGAAGGAGGCGATGGATGAGGAGATGCGGAGCTTGATTGAGCAGGGGACGTGGGAGTTGGTTCCGCGTCCGCCAGGGGTGAATGTGATGAAGAACCGCTGGATTTTGAACACCAAGTTCCGACCTGATGGGATAGTGGAGCGTGAGAAGGCGAGGCTGGTGGTGAAGGGGTTCACGCAGGTGGCAGGGGTGGACTATGAGGAGACGTACGCCCCTGTGGGAAGCTATGTGACGGCGCGTGTGCTTCTGGCGATTGCAGCTGCACTTGATTTGGACCTGATGCAGCTCGATGTGAAGAACGCGTTCCTCCATGGCGTGCTGGACCGAGACCTTTACATGGAGCAGCCGAGCTACTACGAGGATGGGACTCCTCGTGTCTGTAAGTTGGTGAAGAGTCTGTATGGGCTCAAGCAGAGCCCGATGCTATGGTATGAGGCCTTGGATGGGGTGCTGCTTGGGGCTGGATGGAAGAAGAGCAAGGTGGATGAGGCTCTGTACTTCAAGACTGATGCTGAGGGGGAGATGTGCTGGCTGCTGGTGTATGTGGATGACCTGCTTGCTGCCAGCCGCAGTCAGAGCATGCTAGCGGAGCTGCGTGACCTGCTGCAGAGTGCCTTTCAGCTGCGGGAGATTAGCCCTGTGGAGAAATATCTGGGGTTGCAGCTGATTCGGGACAGGCCCACGAGGAGGCTGTGGCTGCACCAGGGGGCCTATGTGGACAAGGTCCATAGGCGCTTCTTTGACGGGGAGCAGCCGCTGCGAGTGCCTCGCACCCCTCTTTCCTCTGACCCTTTCAGTGTGCAGACCTTCGAGGATGTGGGATGGCAGTCTCGCCAGGAGGAGGAGTACAGGCAGAAGGTGGGATCCTTGCAGTTCGCGGCCTGTACCACCCGTCCCGACATCTCGTTCGCCTGCAGCAAGCTGGGGTCGGGCCAGACTGTGCGGAGTGATCAGCACTGGAAGGAGTTGGACCGGTGCTTGACGTACTTGGTGGGGAGCAGGGATGTGGCGCTGGAGTTTGGTGGTGGGCCGGAGTCCTTGGAGCTGGTGGGCTACGCCGATGCTGATGATGCAGGGGACAAGCAGAACAGGACCAGCACAGGTGGCTATGTCTTCGTGCTCGGGGGTGCTGCTGTCTCATGGGCGAGCCAGCGGATTCGTTGCGCCACCCTTTCCTCCACTGAGTCTGAGTACGTTGCTGCTGTGGAGGCTGGGAAGGAGGCGCGCAGGCTGCGCTTCCTGCTGGCAGAGTTTCAACTGCTGAGGAGTGAGGAGCCCACGACTCTCTTTGTGGACAACTCCTCCGCCATTTCAGTGGCAGGTGGCATGGGGCTCAAGGGGAGCCTCAAGCACATGGAGCGTCGTCACATGTGGCTGCAGCACATGGTCAAGCGCAGGAAGCTGCAGCTGCAGTACATCCCTACGAGCGAGCAGCCTGCTGACTACCTCACAAAGGCATTGCATTTCCCCGCCTTCAGTCGTTGCTTCGAGGCTGTGGGGCAGGTGCGGCTCTCGAGCGAGGAGAGTGAGACCTAGACACTCCATGATGTGGATGGTGCCATGGCCTATCCATGGCTGGTGCGGTGCGTGTTTACACTTTGAGCGTGTTTCGTTTGTGTGTATCCCTTTGTTTTGGTGTGTATGTGTGTATGCATGCCCTGTGATTATAAAGGGCCTTGCTGTAGTATGGCAGGGGAGTGTTAGAGGGCCCTACGACAGCAAGGGCCCTCGATGACCTTTGACTTGGCAGGTCGGCGCCTAACGACTGAGTCTACTCGGCACCGACGCACGAGTTCGGTGGCGGTCATTAGTGACTACGGGTGACTGTGAGCTACTGCAGCGAACTCGGCGGAATCGGTGCTAGGAATGACGAGTCTTGGGGGTCGTAGGTGCCTTGCTTGTGAGGCACGCTGCTCACTTGCTGTGTTGGCAGGAGTAGCGTGCACGGTGAGACATTCCGGTGCCGAGTTGGGTTGGAAATGTGCGGGGCGCGTTCACCCACCTGCACAGCACTTTCGTGTGGGTTGGGTTACTCGCAGCGCCACGCAACAATTGTGCAACTCTTGCTTGACTATATATGTTTGTGTTTGCTTGTGTGTTTGATAATTGATATTGCAATTCTACTTGGCCCAAATGCTACTTCAATTCTCACAAAGTCCTTAGAGGCAAACGCTACCAAAACTCTACCAAGTTGCTGGCGCAACATCATTCCCATAGCAGAGACTCTCTCGCTATCGCTACGCTCTCTAATATATTCCTTCACCACAATGCTTCAAAAATATGTGAAACACTGTGGGGCATGCAAGAGAAGAGACCCTGTTGCAATGGGCACTTTCCTCATTATCACATGCTTCACAACGTTCCTGTAACAAGGGGAGAAGAAGGGCCAAGAAAAGTCGCCTGGCTCGTATAACAGTTGACCGCTAACACATTCACTTTTTCCACCCAAAAAGCTTTGTAAGGCCCAGGATTGACCCTGTTGCTCTGTAAGGCCCAGGATTGACCCTGTTGCTCTGTAAGGCCCAGGATTGACCCTGTTGCTCTGTAAGGCCCAGGATTGACCCTGTTGCTCTGTAAGGCCCAGGATTGACCCTGTTGCTCTGTAAGGCCCAGGATTGACCCTGTTGCTCTGTAAGGCCCAGGATTGACCCTGTTGCTCTGTAAGGCCCAGGATTGACCCTGTTGCTCTGTAAGGCCCAGGATTGACCCTGTTGCTCTGTAAGGCCCAGGATTGACCCTGTTGCTCTGTAAGGCCCAGGATTGACCCTGTTGCTCTGTAAGGCCCAGGATTGACCCTGTTGCTCTGTAAGGCCCAGGATTGACCCTGTTGCTCTGTAAGGCCCAGGATTGACCCTGTTGCTCTGTAAGGCCCAGGATTGACCCTGTTGCTCTGTAAGGCCCAGGATTGACCCTGTTGCTCTGTAAGGCCCAGGATTGACCCTGTTGCTCTGTAAGGCCCAGGATTGACCCTGTTGCTCTGTAAGGCCCAGGATTGACCCTGTTGCTCTGTAAGGCCCAGGATTGACCCTGTTGCTCTGTAAGGCCCAGGATTGACCCTGTTGCTCTGTAAGGCCCAGGATTGACCCTGTTGCTCTGTAAGGCCCAGGATTGACCCTGTTGCTCTGTAAGGCCCAGGATTGACCCTGTTGCTCTGTAAGGCCCAGGATTGACCCTGTTGCTCTGTAAGGCCCAGGATTGACCCTGTTGCTCTGTAAGGCCCAGGATTGACCCTGTTGCTCTGTAAGGCCCAGGATTGACCCTGTTGCTCTGTAAGGCCCAGGATTGACCCTGTTGCTCTGTAAGGCCCAGGATTGACCCTGTTGCTCTGTAAGGCCCAGGATTGACCCTGTTGCTCTGTAAGGCCCAGGATTGACCCTGTTGCTCTGTAAGGCCCAGGATTGACCCTGTTGCTCTGTAAGGCCCAGGATTGACCCTGTTGCTCTGTAAGGCCCAGGATTGACCCTGTTGCTCTGTAAGGCCCAGGATTGACCGTTGCTCCTGGGACTTCCCTCAGTATCACATGCTTCAAAACGTTATTGCAGGGAGGCTGTATCACTGGGGGACGGACTGACATACACAATTTCATTGAGGAGCCTCAAAAGTTGAGGCGCCTCAACAGTTGTCTTCCCTCATTATCACATGCTTCAAAACGTTACCAGTGAGGCTGCATCAGAGGGGGTGGTCATTATGCATCATCTCGCATGGGGTTGCCTAAACAAACAGTTTTGTGGGCAACACCACTTACATCTTCCCGTTGCTGACCCTCACGCCTTGTTTCGCATACATGCATGCATCTTCCATGCATACTTACATCCTCACGCCTTGTTTCGCATACATGCATGCACCCCTGTGCACCAAAACACCTGATGACTCTGAGGAGCCTCGGCGACACAATGAAGAACTAGGAGAAAAAAACACACTCACATCTTCCCGTTGTTGATCCTCACGCCTTGCTTCGCGTACATGCATGCACCCCCCCACACCAAAACACCCGATGACTGCGCGTCCAGGTCATAGCAGAGCGCGCCGTTGACGACGTAGTTGCATGACGCAATGTTGCCTGGAGGAACGTTGGGGGGAGAGGAGAGGGGAGAGGAAGGATGAGGACAACACCTTGAGTGCCTGCATTGGGTGTCCAGGTCATAACAGATGCCGCCGTTGACGACATAGTTGCACGATGCAATGTTACCTGGTGGGGAGTGCAAGAAGAACGGGGAAACGTGAAGGGGAGGGAAGTTGAGAACAATCCTTGGACTCTTGGTGAGGCGTCCAGGCCATAACAGAGGCCGCCATTGACGACATAGTTGCACGATGCAATGTTACCTGGGGGCAAGGGCAAGAAGAACGGGAGAAAGAAGGGGGGGTTTAAATGGGGGGGGGGAAGTAAAATCACGTGGCATCCTCGGTTGACCCAGTGCGTTGAGAACACGATCCCCATGACCTTCCCAGCGCCAGGCATGGCCCCCCAGGGAGCTTGCACCACGTTGTTAGACACGTTCACGAGCATGCAGTCGCCCACGAATCGCGGCCCGGCGCCACACATGATGCCCGCGCCTGTGAACCCGTGCACGTCGTTACTCGCCACCGCCACCCCCACCACTCCCACCACTGGCACTCCCCACCGCTCCTACCACTGCTCGTACCCCTGCTGCCCAGTGCACTCAGAGGAGAGAAAGTGGCCTTACCTGGGTTGATCCAGTGAGTGGAAAACACGATCCCAATGGCCTTCCCAGCACCAGGCATGGCGCCCCAGGGAGCCTGCACCACGTTGTTAGAGACATTCACGAGCATGCAGTCGCCCACGAATCGCGGCCCGGCGCCACACATGATGCCCGCGCCTGTGAACCCGTGCACGTAGTTACTCGCCACCGCCACCCCCACCGCGCCCCGGTGCAAAACGATGCCGATCCGCGCGTTGTACACCTCGTTATTCGTTATAAGCACGTTCGATTTGAGGAGGGAGGGGCCGATGCCGGAGAGCGCGACGCGGATGTGCGCGGGGGAGGCGACGGAGGGGAGGGATGGGGCTGTGATCTTGAGGGAATCGACCCTCACGTTCATGCTCCGAACAACGTCTACTCGGCCGTACACTGTACCCTGTTGGGTGCGGAAAGGTGGAGGGCAGAAGAGGGGAGAGAAACGGGTTACGCCACAGGTAACAGCAAGAGGAGGGGATGGAGAGGGGGAGGGCTGGCGCGGTGATCTCGATTGAGTCGACCCTCACGTTCATGCTCCGCACCACGTCTACTCCGCCATAGACCATGCCCTGTGTGGGTGACGCAGGGCAGAAGGTGCGGGAGGGGAGATTGGGGGTAACACCAGAGGTCAGTGACAACAAGAAAAGGCGAATTTTACTTTTGAGAATTCTCAAAAGTAGAACTCACATAGTTGGGGGTAACACCAGAGGTCAGTGACAACAAGAGGAGGGGATGGAGAGGGGGAGGGCTGGCGCGGTGATCTTGAGAGAGTCGACCCACACGTTCATGCTCCAAACCACGTCTACTCCGCCATAGACCGTGCCCTGCAGGAGAGGAAGAGGGAGAGAGCAGGTCACAGGGGAGGCAACGGGAGGAGGAGAGGGAAGGAGCAGGGGTCATAGGGGAGGCAACGGGAGGAGGAGAGGGAAGGAGCAGGGGTCGCAGGGGAGGCAACGGGAGGAGGAGAGGGAAGGAGCAGGGGTCGCAGGGGAGGCAACGGGAGGAGGAGAGGGAAGGAGCAGGGTCGCAGGGGAGGCAACGGGAGGAGGAGAGGGAAGGAGCAGGGGTCGCAGGGGAGGCAACGGATGGAGGCTGCCGTCAGAGCAGAAGCAGACTGATGGCGGAAAGATGGTAGCAAGGGAGGTGAGGGAAGAGGAGGCGAGGTCGATTCTCACCGCTCCCACTTGCACGCCGTACGATCGGTGAATGGCGATCGCCGGACATACTGACGTCTTGTCCGCCCCTTGAAACCCCACACACGCCGCCGACCCCGGTGCCACCCCCACCTTCCAATTCACATTCACTGACACGATGTTACTCGCATTCTCCACCTTAAAAGCCGGCATGTCACTCCCGGGATACTCTATCGTATACCCAGGCCACATCCCTACTGTCGACATGAGCAGCGAGCAGGAAAACCCCACGCCGAAAACCAATCCCGAGGAGAGAACTAGGTTGTTTTGAAGGTACATGACGACGGTTACGTTGGGAGGGATCTGTAACCGGAGGTTGAAATCGGCGGGAGTGGTGATGTTTAGGACGTAGACTGCTCTAAGGCTCGTGCAGCCGCCTTTCGGCCGTTTGACAGCGGGCTGGCGAGAAGGGGAGGGATTCTGGGAGGAGGAGGGGGGTGGTGAGGTGTCGCCGGCACTGTTGCTGTTTTGGACTGAAGTGACGGGCCACGTGAGAATGCCGGCCATGGGGTTGGTTGTGGGCGGCAGGATGGTGAATGGGAACGGGACGGGGCCTTTGAGCTTGGCCGGCAAGCGTTGTTTCGTAGCGCCTCTGCTGCCTTGACCGCTGCTTTGTTTGCTGCTGCTGCTGCTGCGTTGTGGTTGCATGGGTGTGTTAGGATGGCGCTTGAACCCTCCCCCTGCTGCTGCTGCTGCTCCCTCAACCCTCCCTGCTGCTGCCCCCTCTACCCTCCATCCCTCTGCTCCCTTCATCTTCTCTACCCTTTCCCTCTTCACACTCCCTCCCTTTGCTTCCTTCACACTCCCTTCCTCTGCTCCACCTACACCTCCCTCTGCTGCCCCCTCCTTGTTCCACTGTTCCTTGCCCCCTTTCCCCCCTCTCTTCTCGTCCAATGGGCTGCTTCCACGTGGAATGAGCGCAAACGAGACGTCCTTAGCAGCAAGAGCCATATAATCACGACCCCATTCAGTCACATCCCCGTTATTGTCACTCTCCTCTTTAACCACATCCTCCTTATTGTCACTTCCGCTCCTCTCCGTAGTGTCAGCTCCATCAACAGCAGCAGCATCAAGCACTCCACCATAACCATCCTCGTTATAAGCATCACCAGCACCCGCAGAGTCAACAGTGCCGGAAACATCCAAAGGCCAAGTGAAAGGCCCCAAGCCAGAGCTCCCCTTTGTTGACTCTGTTGACTCGGTTGACCGTGGTTGAGCGGTCAACCCCGGGTGCCCAATAGCCCCTGCCACATCTCTTGCAGCCATTGCTACTAGCTCTTCATCCGTTGACTCGGTTGACTTGATTGACTCAGTTGACTCGGTTGACTTGGTTGAGTCAGTTGACCGGGGTTGAGGGGTCAACCCCGGGTGCCCAATAGCCCCTGCCGCATCCCTTGCAGCCAGTGCTGTCAATTCTGCATCTGTAAACTTCGGGCCAAACATGGGTGTGAATAGTCCAGAACCCTTTTCACTCCCTTCACTCCTTTCACTCCTTGCACTCCTTTCACTCTTTTCACTCTTTTCGCTTTTCTCTAATCCGTACTCATTGCTCCACCCCATGCCGTCCGCATTAGCAGCAGCACTCCCCGCATCAGATTCACCAGGAGCAGCATCAAGCGCAGAGTCACCAGAACCATCGTCATTTCTACCGTACCTGCTGACCTGGTTACCTCTGTCGTCCAGAGGCCACACCAGGTTCGGACCCGCACCTAGGCTAGGCTCGGTGCGAGCCTCGGCAACGTCTCGTGCTGCCATAGCTACCATTCTAGCACCTTCGCTTCTATCACCGCTGATGATATCACTCTCGTTACTATCACCGCTGCTGCTGTCACTCCTATAGTCGAAACCTGAAGCTGCTTCAAACGCGGATGCTACTGTAGCCATGGGGTTATCCTCCTCCCTGTTTTCATCGCTTAAGCCTTGACCGCTGACTCCATAATCATAATTATCATCATAATCAGCAGCAGCAGTATCATCAGCACCACCAGAAGCGGCTTCAAACGCGGATGCTACTGTAGCCATAGGGTCTTCCTCCCTGCCTTCATCCCTTAATCCTTGACTGCTGACTCCATAATCCGCATCATAGTAAGAAACATCAGCACCAGCAGAAGCTGCTTCAAACGCGGATGCTACTGTAGCCATGGGATTATCCTTCCTGCCTTCATCACTAAAAGCGTGGCTGCTTACACCGTTTTCCTCATCATCAGCATCCGAATCATCACCATCACCCCCATTGGTCGCAGAACCATCCTGCACCATGCCGCTGTGACCCCACTCCCTCGTGAACCAGTCCCTGTCTTCTCTACTGTCATCCCCACCGTTACTAGCACTATCATCCACAGCAGCAGCAACTGCAACACTGCCATCACCATCACTATCACTACCAGCACCATTATTATCAGCATCGGTCACTGCACCATCTAGCACCATACCGCTGTGCCCCCACTCTCGCATAAACCAATCCCTGTCTCCCCCTTCGTTTCTGCTGCTGCCACTACCACCACCCCTGCCACGACTAGTGGTGCTACCACCACCGTTACTAGCACTATCATCCACAGCAGCAGCAACAACAACACGCCCATCGGCACTATCACCACCATCACCATCCCTATCGATCTCAGCGGCATCTTGCACCATACCGCTGCGCCCCCAGTCTCTCATGAACCAGTCCCTGTCGTCCCCCCCCCTGCTGCTGCTACCACCACCACCCCTGCTACGACTGATGGTGCTATCACCACCGTTACTCGAACTAACATCCACAGCAGTAGCAACAGCAACCCGCCCTTCACCATCATCACCATCATCACCATCATCACCATCAGCACCATCAGCACCATCAGCATCATCATCACCCCCATCGTTCGCAGCACCATCTTGCACCATACCGCTGCGCCCCCACTCTCTCATAAACCAGTCCCTGTCTTGCCTATCCCCGTTGCCACCACTGTTACTAGCACCACCGCTAGTAACATCACCGCTAGCAGCACCACCGCCAGTAGCACCAGCACCTACAGCAGCAGCAGTGGCAACAGCATCGCCATCACCAGCACCACCGTTGCTTGAATCACCACCACCTTGCCACGAGTCACCACCTGAGGTCGAGTCACTGGGTTGGTCACTCGCGCCTGTGCCGCCATGCCACCGCACCAACAGCCCGCCCGCAAGGTCCCCCTTGTACCGCCGCTGCTCCCCTCTCCGCCTCCCGCCTCCCTTTCCCCTTCCCCTTCCTTCTCCGCCGCCTTCCCCTCTCCCTCCCCCTCCTGCTCCCCCTCCGCCTCCCCGTTGCCCTTCCCCACGACTGCCCCCACTGCCCTCACTGTCCCCGTGTCGTTCACCCAACCCCTCCAAGGACTCTAAATTAAACTCTCCGGCTACTTCCGCTTTCTTTCCCTTGCCGGCCGCTATGCCGTCCCCTTTCCCCTCCCCCTCCCCTTCCTCTTCCCCCTCCCCTTGCGACATAGGCTCCGCATAATCATCCTGATTCCATGGCGGCGCGGTCTCGTAGTCTAAGCGCGACTCGAGGCTCCATAATTCTTCATACTGCGAACCGTATTTACTCTGTGCGCCTCTGTTTTCCGTGTCGGCTTCCCTACTACTTCTCGACTCTTTCAATTCCGACGCTTGCCACGTGTCAGATAACCAGCGTCCATGCGGCCGAGGGGCTGGGAAAAAGCTGTTGCGGTTGCCACGTGTCAAGTGTCCATCAATAGCAGCGCCGGACGGAGACGCGAGCCGACAATAGCACAGGCAGAAAAACGCGACAGCTAATAACGAGGATTCGCGCCGATGACGCAACGGGCGCATGATTCTTGGAATGCGCATCTGGAGAAGGATTGAACCGAAACGCGTACCGAGTCACCCTCTAAGACAACAAGGAAAATAATCAAAGAGATAATATGAATATTATATGTGAAGCCCCTTTTGATATATCGGCTTTAATGTTCATTGCCAAGTCAGTAACTAATTAACCAGTGAGAGTCATTCTCGATAAGGCGATTGTGAGGCTCTTAACATTGTCTCATGCGGGGACCAGAAGCATGGAATACCAGAAGCTGGTGCATCGATCTCCAGTGCCCGTTAAAAGAAAACCCCGAACTTGGCGATCGTGATGACTAGACTGGTGAGCAAAAGGTAATCTGCCACCCTAACAGACTTTTCCAGGTCAGAGCAACGCTAACTGATTGAACTCGAGCGGGGCAGCAGACTAAGCACGAACGTACGAGCACGAGCTCTAAGAACAGACTACTTGCGAAAGACTGACACAAGCTCTTGGAAGGAACGCTGGATGATAGAAACACCCGCCTGCTCTATCGGCCTACACGCTGAGTTGGAGTTGGCAGGAACTACTAACTGGCAGCACGGAATAATTAATGGCGCGAAGGTAACAGAACTGAGCGAAAGCGAACAATTCAACTCTCGCACTCGTTAGTCATTGCCCCTCCGCAAGAACTGTCGCATACAGAAATAATCAAAGCAGAATGAAGCTCCAACCGTGGTTTGGCACGGTGCTAGTAGATATCGAAATCAATAAAATCTAATTAGAGTGGTTGAGCAAGGTTACGGGACTTCTATCGAACTAGCGGAAATTCTTCTTCCGTGTCGAGTACAGTACCCAGCCCAACGACCACGCCGAGTCGCGTTTTTTGTCCGCCTTGGCGGCTCACCGAACGCAGATTGCAGCTCCCTCGTTGGCTGGGGAGGGCGCTGAACTTACGTGGCGTGCAGGCAGTGGCGGTGCGGAAGCTCTCTGCGGGTTTGGTTCGGTTCGGTGGGGTTTGGGCCGCGTGAGCGGCGCTTCACCCAAGACCACGTCCACGTCTATGTACTCAACAACTGCTTCCAAAAAACATCTTCTGGCAGCTTCGATTACAATATCCTCCTCTACACAATTATGATATGAAACTGGACTAGATTAGTGCGTTCACAAAGAAGGCAATTCACAATTGTGGCCATGTCTATGTCAAAGCTATTTTGGAAGCAGGAACCCATCTTGGAAGCATTGGAATACATGGCCCCATAAAGCATTCAATCTGTAGTAGGTGACCATTATGCAAATGGGTACGGTAGCACTAGTTTTACAATATGATGGTTCACCATACCACACCTCTTTATTATATGCCACAGAGCACTGACCATGCACCTAACTCCCTACAAGAAAAGGCCTACCCAACCACGAATACTCCCCCTCACCAGCCGCCATCATCTGAGCTCTAACCGCCGGCGTAATCAAATCTTGGTCTATGATATGATCCGTGTCCATCCTAACAACCTTCCGGAACCCCCACGGCATCGGAATATTGTAACCCCTGTAAAACGACTTCTCCGAAAACTTTCTCGGCCCAGCGAGCCCCAGCGGGCAGCTCAAATAGTTCGGGCGGAACTTCAGAATCACCGACGTGTTTTTCAGCCCCAAATCATTCCGCCTGTAATTCCGGAATCCCGCAGCGTAAGGCCGATTCAGCGTAATGTTAATCTGCGTATTTAATTTCTCTGTAACAGTGTAGTTATCGCAGTATTTCCAGTCAAGACCGTAATCGGTGGTGTTGACTGCAACAACGTCGATGAGATTGTCGGTTCCCAAGCCGCTGCATGCTCCGGTGACGTCAGCACCAGGCTGACCTGGCGGGTTACATGGCACGCCACCATTGGCCGATGTCTCCTTGCACACGTTCTTCATCCAAGGCCATAGCTGGATGTGACAATAACGGGGGAAAGGAGAGAAAGGAGATTGGAGTGAGGAGTGAGGAGAGAGGAGGACGAGGGGGAAGAGTATTTCACTTGTGTCGCTGCCCAATATTCCCTTACTCTATGTGTGTATGCGCTGCGCTGCTCACTTCCTGCGCTGCTCACTTCCTGGGTGGTGCTCACTTCCTGCGCTGCTCTCACTTACACTGTTGTAGTACTTCACACGCATCACCTCCCAGTAGTCCCTTACTGTACTCCTGAGACGTCTCTCAAATGTTGTGAGCTACTGCCATGTACGTGCTTGCTCTATGCTCGCTACCTGCATTGCCCTCGCATACCCGGTTGATGCGGTCGCTGTTGTAGTACTTGACGCGCATCCTCTCCCAGTAGTCCCCGGGGTCCTTCAAGCAGTTGTTGACAGTCACTGTGAGGCACGACGTCCATCCCAGCGACCCTTGTGTGCCCTTCATCGCCACGTGCTTTATCACGTTCCTGCATGGGGGAAAGGAGTGCAGTGCGGTGGAGAGCGGTGGGAAAAGGGGAGGGGTCAAGGTTGTCTTTGAGGCAGTTGTTGACGGTCACTCTGAGGCACGACGTCCATCCCAGCGACCCTTGTGTGCCCTTCATTGCGACATGCTTTATCACGTTCCTGTGATGAACAAAGGGAATGTAAGGGGTGGCAAGAAGAGGGGGAGCAGGGGGCGATGGATGGGGCAGTTGCTGACAGTCACTGTGAGGCATGCCGTCCAACCCACCGACCGTCCAACCCACCGACCCCTGAGTGCACTTCATTGCCGCGTGCTTCACGTTCCTACACAGGAGGAAGGAAGGACAACACGGTGCAGAGCGGTGGAGGGGGGTCAATTGAGCAGTTCTCGAGCATGACTGTGAGGCATGCCGTCCAACCCACCGACCGTCCAACCCACCGACCCCTGAGTGCCCTTCATCGCCGCGTGCTTCATCACGTTCCTGTGGTGAACGCAGGGGAAAAAGGGGTGGAGGCAGTACGGCAGAAAGGGGGGACAACGAGAGTTGTTGGGCAGAAAACGCTTTTGAGAATTCTCAAAAAGGAGGGACAACGAGAGTTGTCGGGCAGAAAACGCTTTTGAGAATTCTCAAAAGTAGGGACAACGAGAGTTGTTGGGCAGACGGGCTGCCGAGGCAAGGTAGGGGACGAAGCGGGTGTCTTGAAGGAGCAATTGAACATATAACTGAGCAGTGATCGGGTGTCGTGGGGCATGAATGTCCCAAGGTGCTGGGACCGCGATCCAGTTTTTGAAAGTCAACAATGGGAAGAGGTGAGGCACCCGCTCAGACGATTTTTGAGGCGCCTCAAAAAGCGATCCAGTTTTGCAAGTCAACAATGGGAAGAGGTGAGACAGCCGCTCAGAAGAACCCCCGACGTGCAATAATCCAGAGAATGAACCAGAGAATGAACCAGAGAATGAACCAGAGAATGAACCAGAGAATGAACCAGAGAATGAACCAGAGAATGAACCAGAGAATGAACCAGTGCGTGTAGTAGTAGATCCCTGCCGAGTCATAGTCCCCGTTCAGGTTCCTCCATGCCCCATGCCCCATGCCCCATAACCCATGGCCCAATCGTCTCACCTCTTGCCGTTATTCACTTTCATGCCGTCATATGTATTCACACACGCGCCGCCCCGCACAAGCACGCCCGACGTGCAGTAATCCAGATAGTAGCAGTGGTCGCCGTTAAACACGTAGTTGCAGAGGGCGGAGTTCCCAGGGTTGAACCAGTGCGTGCAATAGTAGATCCCTGCCGAGTCATAGTCCCCGTTCAAATTCCTCCCAGAGGAGATCACGAGGTTGGAGTTGATGCGAGTCAGCATGCAGTCTCCGCTGTAATGCACGTCCGCGCCGCAGCGAATCCCCGCAAATATATAATCGTGGATGTAGTTGTTGGTAATGGTAACACCGACTGCTCCCCTGTGCAAGACGATTGGGGTGTTGACACCTGTATAGGCGAATGGGGAAAGTGGGGTTAAGAGCAGACGGGGTGAGGGGAGAGGAGAGGAAATCACGAGGTTGGAGTTGATCAGTGAGCATGCAGTCACCGCTGTAATGCACGCCAGCGCCGCATCGGATCCCCGTGAAAATGTAGTCGTGGATGTACTTGTTTTGTTGGTGACTGTGATGCCACTGCTCCCCTGTGCAAGACAATGGGGGTGTTGACGCCTGCAGGGGTGAATGGGGGAATAGGGGAGAAGAGTGAGAGGGGCGGAGAGAGGCAAAGATATAGTCGTGGATGTAGTTGTTGGTAACGGTAACACCGACTGCTCCCCTGTGCAACACGATGGGGGTGTTCACACCTGAAGGGACATGGAAGGTGGGGGCAGGAGGTCAGGGAGAAAAGAGTGGATTGAGCATAAGAGGAGGGAAAGGAAAAGGTTGGAGTTGATGTGGGTTAGCGCGAGCATGCAGTCGCCGCTGTAATGCACCGAATGCCGGAGAAGATATAGTCGTGGATGTAGTAGGTGTTGGTTACGGTGGTGCCAACTGCTCCCCTGTGCAAGACAATGGGGGTGTTCACGCCTGCAGACAAAGGAAAAAGAGTGGAAGAGGGCGAAACGAGAAGAGGGGGCAAACGAGGGAGAGAGGAGAGGATCACACCAGGCGACTTCGACTTGATTCTCTAGTGAACGTGTCACGATCTACCCACAAAGGCCTGGATGTCACGTGTGAACGCGTTTCGGCCAGCAAAGGCCTTCATCAGCACAAGAGCCTCTAGTGAACGTGTCACGATCTACCCACCATAGTTCTGGTTATTACAGAACCACTCACCACCATACACCCCATTGTTAGGGATGGCAATGTTGGCTTGCAGCAGTGCTGGCCCGTACCCACACATGGTTGACTCTGGTTGACTTACGTTGACTCAGAAAACATCCCACTCACCATACACCTCGTTGTTGGAGATGACAATGTTGGCTTGCAGCAGCGAAGGCCCGTACCCACACAGGGCCACTCGGATCACCCCAGGCGACTTGTCAAAGGAAGCCACTCCGGTGACCTTGAGTGAGTCCAGGCGCACACCCATGCTCCTTAGAACGTCCACTCGCCCAAAGATGTTGCCCTGTGGGAGGGAAACAGAAAGAGGAAAGAGGCGAGGTAAGGGAGCGCACAACCAGGCTCTTGAGCGCACAACCAGGCTCTTGAGCGCACAACCAGGCTCTTGAGCGCACAACCAGGCTCTTGAGCGCACAACCAGGCTCTTGAGCGCACAACCAGGCTCTTGAGCGCACAACCAGGCTCTTGAGCGCACAACCAGGCTCTTGAGCGCACAACCAGGCTCTTGAGCGCACAACCAGGCTCTTGAGCGCACAACCAGGTTCTTGAGCGCACAACCAGGCTCTTGAGCGCACAACCAGGCTTTTGAGCGCACAACCAGGCTCTTGAGCGCACAACCAGAATACAAGGATGCAAACAAGCAGGTGGAAAGACCTACCTTACCACTGCACGCCCGTACGACCGGTGGATTGAAATCGCAGGGCACGTGACTCCCTTCCCCAGCTCCGGCACAGTGGTGCATTCGGGACTGCTCTCCTTCACGGGCAAATAATCATTCACGTTCAACGGCATTCAGCTTACCGCACACAGGCCGCTAACAACTCACCTTGCCAATCTGCACGCCGTACGAGCAATGGATAGAGATCGCGGGGCACGTGACTCCCTTCCCCAGCTCCGGCACAGTGGTGCACTCGGGACTGCTTTCTGTCACCGGCAGCTTATAATACACGTTCAGCGAGAAGCAAGGGAGGGGGAAAAGCAGGTGGAAGGGAGGGACCCACCTTGCCAATCTGCACGCCATAGGCCCGATGGATAGAGATCGCGGGGCACGTGACTCCCTTCCCCAGCTCCGGCACAGTGGTGCACTCGGGGCTTCTTTCTGTCACCGGCAGCTTATAATTCACGTTCAGCGACAGGAAGTTGTTTGTGTTCCACACGCGCAGCACCGGGTACATAGGGTTACCACCCGTGAGCGTGTAACCGGGCCATTTCGCCGACATGAGGATCGTGCACGACTGCTGCCGACGGAAAAACAACCCTCTAGGCAGCGTCAGATCGTTCCGTAAATACAGAATAACAGTGGTGGTGGGCGGGAGGGAGGCACGGGCGGCGAAATCAGCAGCAGAGGTCACGTTGATTATGTAGACTTTCTTGAGCGAGGAGCAGGAGCCTTGTGGGCGGGACTTGGACGGCTGGTATCCTGCGGCTGTAGCGGCGCGTTGCAGGGAAACTGGCCCAATGATCACTGTTCGCCTTCTCCTGGGCTGCCGCCTAGTTGCTCCGGCTGTAGCAGCAGCAGCTGTAGCAGTAGCCGTAGCAGCAGTTGTAGCAGCAGTTGTAGCGGCAGCAGCAGCAGCAAAAGAAGCCCTTTTGAGAGGGAAGTCGAGGAGGAAGGGTTCGCCTGACGCAGCAGCGGCAGCCACAGCGGTGAAGAGCGGTGGTGGCTGACTGTCCCGCTCTTGCTGCTGCTGCCGCACCGATTCAACCCGACGCAGCATGTCGCGCTCGTCGTGACTGTATCCGTCACCGGGACTGTACTGAGTGTTACCGTATTGAGAGGGAGCTTGGCTGAAAGATTGGCTGTGGGGGCTGGCGGTGTGATAATAATGGTGGTGATGACCCACGCCTGCTGGGTGATGCCCCACTGAAGCTGGGTGGTGCCCTATGACTGTAACGGGGGGGGGGGAGGATTAAACGGGTAGGTTGGGGGGCGTTGGGGGGTTGTCATGGAAACATGTGGGAGCGAGGACCAGCTGATGCCAGCAGAGGTCGCACTTTTTCTTTCGGCGCGTCATAAATGCACTAATTAGTTTGGCTGGTTATAAGCTTCCTTTTGAGTCGAATCTCAGCATTCCTTGAAACGGGTGCCTGACCGCGCCTAATATGGGGTACCTCGCCATACCTTGCAACGCGAAACTGACAGTGCATTATAGCGCGTACCTCGCCATGCCAACGCGTACCTGACCATGCCGTCACAGCGGCGCAGGACGACAAGCCGATTACGACGGCGAAGATCCCGCAGATTGCCACGGAGTTAGATATCGCCATTCTCTTGCAGGCCGCAGCGCGACCGACTTTTCTTCTTCCAGGCATCCGCGACCGATTGATTCCCAAAACGAATAGAGAACGATCCCTTGGGAACAATCCACACGTCGATCCCACTAATCTACGTGTGGCGCTGCCACCATCGAGATTCCACGACAGACTCGGTGCTACAAAAATTGCTTTCAGATGTGTTGCAGCGAAGAACGGCTGGATTTCATCAGCCGGCTGATGCAGAAACCCTAATTGGCTTGACCTGTCGGAAAGTTCGCGGGATGCAACTAACGCATCAAGTTACGGACAGACTTACTACGCCAACTCAAGTATAGAAAACGTTGCCTGGCTGACAAGTTCACATCGAAGTAATGTACGGCACGGGAACGGGCGAGGTCATAACAACGCCATGGTCGTTTGCGAAGAGCGTTGCTGTTGGTGACTGCCAGCGGAAATTGCTGCTCCGTGGTGATTGACTCGAAACGTGGCCGAGAAATGCTTACAGGTTTTGGTGTTTGGTGGGTGTGACGGCGGGGACTTTCGGTTGGCGGTGTGGACGAAAGTTCGTAACTGTTTCTTCGCGAGAATGATCAGGGGAGGGCACATCTCCGACATGTATCGCGAACATTTCTTGCGAAGTAGGAAGGCATCAGCAAGGAAGTTGGTGGTGAAGGGGGAGGTGACGGGAAGGTTGAAACAAGGGAGCCGCGATCTGAATCACAAGTGATGGCGCGTCGCGGTTACCATGTGATTTACGCCGTCGGATCTGCGATGTGCGGCTTGGCTTGGTTCAGGGACGGGTGTACGTCAGCCGCGCGCAGTCGGTGAGCAGCGGCAGGAGTCGCACATGCGGAATTTTATCTGACCGAGTGCAGAAGCCGAACCCCGTTGACTCTACGAACTTCACCGACGTGGCAAATAGCTAACGCACTTTTCTGCGAAAACCGACGGAAATGAAGATGGCCTGGATTCTGGCTGGGGTGCACGAAGCGAGGATGTCTCTCGTCCAGAAACTGGCATCTCCGAGAGAAAGAAAATCCGAGTACTGCATAAGAGTCTTGCATCCAATATGTTTTTTTATTAGCATAGATAGCTCAAATATATATTGGCCGTATGCTACCCATTGTCCAAACAGTCAAGTTTTTCAACCATTGCATTACCTTTCTATTGACCTACTTCAAACTATCAGGCCCCGTCACACCAATTGGCTCCTCAGCCAGGAATATTCAGAAGTGTCCATCATCTGTGCTCGCACTTGCTTGGGGATGAGGTCACGGTCAATAATGTGATTCGTATCCATGGCCACTACCTTTTGAAATCCTGCAGGCATCGGAACGTTGTAGTTCCAGTAATACGAGTTGGTCGAAAACCTCCGGGGCCCCGTCGCTCCCTTCGGGCAGCTCAGATAATTCGGACGCCTGTTGAAAATCGGCGAACCCTTTTGAAGCCCAAGGTTGTTGCGCTTGTAGTTAACGAACTTCGCAGCAAATGGACGAACCGGGATATGATGCTCCTTATTGAGTCGCGGCACAGCGGGGTATTTCTCGCAGTATTTATAATCCGGAGCCCTCCCAGAGGTGTTCACTGTGATCAGATCAACGAGGTTGTCCGTGCCGTAACCGCTGCAGGCCCCTGTTTCACTAGCAGGAGGTTCACCCGGTGGGTTACACGGCACTCCGTTGAAAGCAGATTTCTCCTTGCAGACAGTTTGCATCCACGGCCACCTCTGGGAAGAGGAGAGCGGGGAAGAAAGTTTGGGGAGGAGAGGTTAGAGATGAAAAAGAGGCTGGGAAAGAGATGTTCTCGAGGTGACTTTTGAGTCGACTCAAAAGTCACCTCGAAAGTTTGGGGAGAGAAGCGGTTAGAGATGAAAAGAGGCTGGGAAAGAGATGTTGCTCCGAGTAGTAGACTCGACGGCATTGGTCAAAGTAGCTGCTGCAAGGCGATCCTAGTACACGCACAGATTTCCCTTCACAGACAGCTTTCAACGGGAAACTCTGAGGAGGACGAGGTCGGATATTGGGAACGGATAAGAGCAAGAAGCATTAAAATGTGAAAGAACGTGTTTGTGGCTGCGACCCTTGTGATGCGTTGAAATGCTCTGCGTTTATCCGAGTTGTGAAATTTGGCCTCTCACCCCCCTCAGTAGCTGCCACGGTTCTCAGGGCAGCTGTTGAGCGTGAATGTAAAGAACCCACCTTTCTGACCGCGAATGCAAGAAATGTGCTTGCTGATTGTGACTGTACAGAAGGTACTCACTTGAACTTGGTAGAGATCACCACTCCCAGTAGTTACCTACCAGGGGACCTTGAGGCAGTTCATTACTGTGAACTGTAAAGTGCTCAGCTGACATCGATCACGGTGTGTTGTAGTATTTGGCGCGCATGCCTCCCAGTAGCTACCAGGGTCCTCGAGGAAGTTGCGTGACTGTAAAGAATGTGCTTGCTGACCGTGACTGCAAGGTATGTGTGTGGTAGACTGTACCAAATGTGCTGATTTCCTTGGCTGAACTTACCGCATTGATTGCAGGTGTGTTGTAGTATTTGGCGCGCATGGCCTCCCAGTAGCTGCCAGGGTCCTTGAGGCAGTTGTTGAGCGTGACTGTAAAGCATGTGGTCCAACCAGGGGATCCCTGTGTGCCCTTCATTGCCACGTGCTTAATCACGTTCCTGTAACGAGTGGGACAATACAGGGGATGAAATAGAGGATAACGAGCAGTTGAGCATGGTCGCAAATATTTACAGCAAGTACTGCGTGCAGAAGGCAGATTTCCTTAGGGAACGGGCACGAGAGTGCGGCCTATAACGTGATGTGAGCAAGTGACAAGCACGTACGCCTGAGCAAGTTTTAAGCATGAACATTAACAGCAGAGAGCCCTGATGCAAGTAGGTTATAACAGTAGACCGTGATAAGATTGGTCAGCCAATAAAACGATAGCTCATGTGAACATTGTTCTCACCTCTTGCCGTTGTTGACTTTCATGCCGTCGTACGTGTTGATGCAAGCCCCGCCCCTTACAAGCACGCCAGATGTGCAATAGTCCAGATAATAACAGTGATCTCCGTTAAACACATAGTTGCAAAACGCTCTGTTGCCTGCATACCAATGGGTGCACACAAGGAAAAGGGAAAGGGTGAGCAGGAGTGTGCTGTGTGATTGCACCACCACCTATGGCCAAATTGCCTTGTGAACAATTATTGTACTTCTATGTAAAAGCAAATGTTTCTGTGACAGTGCATACCTCCATGTGCCCTTCCCTCATCTTCCCAAGTCAAAAACCGCGCAAACCCGATTTCCCCAGCCCACCCACCCACCCCTCTCTTCCCCCACTTCCACCTGCTCCCAACATGAGTACCACCGACTACCCCAAGACGGCAAACCCTAATGCGGTGTGCTTAGCATATGCGCAATAGTGTGAGTCTTGAATATTGACAGTTTTCTATCTTACCAGGGTTGAACCAGTGCGTGCAGTAATAAATCCCCGCCGCGTCGTGATCCCCGTTTGTGTTCCTCCCCGACGCCACCACACGGTTCCAGTTGATCCGCGTCAGCATGCAGTCGCCGCTGTAGTGCACGTCCGCGCCGCACCGAATCCCCGCGAAAATGAAATTGTGCACGAAGTTGTTCGTAACCGTTATGCCGACGGCGCCCCTGTGCAAAACGATCGGGGTGTCCACGCCTGTGCGGAAAAGGGGGGAGGGGGGGGAGGAGGAGGGGGGGCGAGAAAGGAGGGGAAAGGGGTTGGGTTGGGGGAGAGGGGAGGAGGGGGAGGGGGGGGGAGGAAAGGTGGTGGAGGGGGGATGTGGAGAGGGGGAGGTGATAAGCACAAGAAAATGCCCTTGGGTTGGGAAACTAGTTTCTCAAGTCAGACCTCGCTAATTGAAACATATGATCAGCAAGAAGAAACTGCGAAGTCTCGTCATACCTCGCTTTTCTGAAAAACAAATCTATCAAGTCAAAACTCGATTTAACAAATCTATCAAGTCAAAACTCGATTTAACAAATCTATCAAGTCAAAACTCGATTTAATCAAACAGCAAGAAGAAACGTCAACCCTCTCGCTCACCAAAGACCTCGTTGCTCGAGAGGGCGATTTGAGCGCGCAGGAGGTCAGGGCCGTAGCCCGACATCGCAACGAGTATGACGCCCGGCGACAATCTTCCTACTTGAATAAATATTATAGCGCCAAGAAACGAGACTCACCAAAGACCTCGTTGCTCGAGAGGACGATTTGGGCGCGCAGGAGGTCAGGGCCGTAGCCCGACATCGCAACGCGAATGGCGCCCGGCGACTTGTTGAAGATAGCCACTCCCGTGACCTTGAGTGAGTCCACGCGCACGACCATGCTCCTCAGCACGTCCACTCGTCCGTACACCGTGCCCTGTGGGACAACGAGGAGAGGAGGAACGAAGGAGAGGGGTGACGGAAGGGGGGGAGATATGGGTGTTAGCAAGAGAACGGTGACCTTGAGTGAGTCCACGCGCACGACCATGCTCCTCAGCACGTCCACTCGTTCGTAGACCGTGCCCTGTGGGGGGCGTAAAAAACAAGGGAACGGGAGAGACATGTGATACCTTGGCTTGGAGCTAGGGCAGAGAGGGAGAAAGCAGCAAGGATCAACCATAAAATCTGCTCCGTACGAACGAACTAGACAAGTATTCGAGAAATTGTCACTCACCTTAGTTATGTATTAAGCGCCTCAGAATGTAACTCACCATGCCGATCTGCACGCCATACGACTTGTACACCGACACAGCAGGACAAGTCTCGCCCGACCCGAGCTCTCCCTCACTGGCAGCCACCATGACCATACATACAGATGATGCGCCTCAGATATCACTCACCATGCCGATCTGCACTCCGTACGACTTGTACACCGACACAGCCGGACACGTCTCGCCCGACCCGAGCTCCGGCACGTTGGTGCATTCGGGGCTGCCCTCCGTCACGGGCAGTTTGTAGTTAACGTTCATCGACACGAAGTTATTCGCATTCCACACGCGAATCACCGGGTTCGTCAGGTCCGTACTCGATATAGTAAACCCCGGCCACTTCTCGCTCATCAGAATCGTGCACGAGTACGGCGCGTTGAACAGCAGGCCCTTGGTCAGCGCCAGGTTGTTTTTCAGGTAGAGAACAACAGTGGCGGTGGGGGGAAGCATGGTTCGCGTGGTGAGGTGCGACACCTTCGTAACATTGATAATGTAGACTTTCTTAAGACTCGTGCACGGTCCCGGGGGTCCCTTTTTCGCTGTCGGCCCCGCAGATGCCGCCGCATTGCCCGCTTCCGGAAGGAATAGCTTCTCCATATCTACAGGGCCTACAATCACAGCCCTCTCGTTCCCTGCGACTGTTCCGCTGTCCGCTGCGGCGGCAATCGAGGCTATTCCTCCTCCTCCTCCTCCTCCTCCTCCTCCGCCTCCTTCGACCGTTGCTGTTGCCTCGGCAGTCGCGACTGATGCCGCTTCCGACGTAGCTGCGAGTCCAGGACTCTCCCAAGCAGGTCTCCCGGCAGCTGCAACAGCGGCGACGGCGGCGAAAAGAGGCGGCGGCTGGTTACCAGACTGATGGAAGAGGAAGTGATTGTGATTGTAACGAGGGTCATCGGGGTGGATGTTCGGGTCGTGATGGTGCCCCGTGCCCGCTGCGTGATGGCCCATCGAGGCGGGATGATTTCCTGTGACATTAACGAAGAAACAAGGGGAGTAGAGGAAGAGATGAGACTGCAGAGGTTAGGACGCTGAAGCGTGATGATGTCATGTGACTGTAACGGCGCGGAGCAATTTATTGTATGTAGGTGAGATTTTAACCGAATGTAGCAATGTAGCAATAAATATATACAATAAACTGCTCCGCGGTATCTTCAATGTAGCAATTTATTGTATCTATTTTTCGTGGAGATTCCGAATGTCATTGAAGGTGAGTGGACCAAGAAATCACTTCAACCTAATAGGGAGGGGAAGTAGGTTGAGCGAAATGACTGCGGATATGGAGTGGGTTGATAGGGGAAGGAAGAGTGCGTTAGTAAGGAGGGGGAGTGTGATGTAGAAAGAGAGGATAATGGTCGAGCCCATGCTGGCACGATGAACAAGGTTCGAGGTCTATCGAACGTGCTGAATAGGAGACTGACTGACCTGACCATGCTGACGCGACCGAGGCCGCAACGAGCAGGATGCCTATCTGTAGAACAATGCCGCGCATTGTAACACTTCGAGCTTGCTTGCAAGTTAAACCGGATGCTCTTAGAGCTACTCGCTTATCAATGCTGCTATCATATCCTTCAAGGAAAAACCAGCTGAGCAGCGGTTTGACAAGGCTGCTACACGTCCCAAGAAACAGTGCTTTAAAGCCAGGGTCTCACGTACTACAAGTGCTTTGCAATTGTTGTTGAAAGTGTGGCTTTGATTGGTTGGCGAGGTGTAAGGTTCGAAGTGGGGTGAAGCGAGGGGTGCGAAGCCAAAGTAAATCGCTGGGGGCAACCGAACCATCTAGGCTTGGAAACTTGGTTCGGAGCCAAACCTAAAATGCCCCCAACTCATCGAAAGTCTGGAGTACCCAAAAGTGTTGTGCAATTGCTTTTGGGGCAGTGACGCAAGCTGAGTTTCCAAACCAACCAGAGACAACTTCGCCAGCACTAACTTGGTTACCTAGCTTCAAGTGCTTTGCAGTCGATGGCTCCTTAGCTTACATGAGACCCTGGCTTTAATATCTAGAACAGATTGATGGGTGTGCTAGCTTGACTTGGAAGACGGAAAGGAAGCAAGCAGTGAGGAAGGGCGAGAAAACGGGAACCTTTTTCCGTACCCTGTTGGTGCGCTGCCATTTTGCCAGATCGCCAAGAATGGTTTCCCCAGACGTGGGGCAATTTCACTTCACGGCAGTGCTGGCAGTCGGTGGCGCGGTCTGTTCTGTTTTGCGGCGGTGCGACTGTCAGTGCCAGCCCCGGAGGTTCGGAGCACACAACCGAACGTGCTGATTCTCGGGCAGTACAAAACTTGAACATTTCAAGACAGAATGTGCAAAAAAGCAGACCTTGAGGGCTTGACATGTTTTTGTATAGGCTCGGTTCACGTCTGGTGGATTCTGTCGAAGTTCTACGGTGCGTCTCGGTGCCGCTGCCTGGTTCGGTTCGGGGGGCACGTTGGCTCCACGTGCGTGTGCACTTATCGAACCACAATAGCCAATTGGGAACTGTTACGGGTGCAATGAATCGAAGTAGCGAGAATTGCACTATGGTGTCAAACGAGTACTAAGATGTGAGCGAAGGCATGAGCGAACATTTATACGCGAAACATGCAAATGGTAACGCGGTGCGTGCGAGCTAGCTAGTGCTATGCTGGCAGCGAGGCTCGGGCTAGTCCCGAAGCGTAGGCCGACACGGCCGGGCCAGCAGTGCGAGGTTTGGCAAAACAGTGCACGCGAAGTTGGCGAAGTCCCGTTAGCAGTAACGGGCGAACAACGGCTGTTGCTGTACGCGATGTAGTCGGGCTCCGTAAGGAATGCTGAGAAAATTCCTTACACTACCCCCTCCCCCTTCAAGAAGCCCCCTCCGCTACGCGAGTGCGTGTATATCGCGGAATCCCCGGCTCCTCAGGTACACTTGCAGGGCAGGGTGGTTTTCAATGTTGGCCAGGGGCACCCAGCTATCTTCAGTTGGCGTGCGGTCCTTCCAGCGAATGAGGAATTCAATCCTCCTGATTCCCGTGGGGTGTCGAATCCGATGGCTCATGATTTTTTCGGGCTCGATGATCGGCTCCGATGCAGGGCGAGTCATGGATGGCGGGCGGTGGCGAGGTAGTTGGCTTGTAGTTGGGATGTATGGGCGAAGCAAGCTGACGTGGAACGAAGGGCTGATGTACCAGTCGGTCGGTAACAGTAGGTGCGCGGTTACTGGCGTGATCATGTGGCTGATTTGGAATGGGCCACAGTAGCGCGGTCGAAGTTTCGGTACGTCGGGCAGTCGCAGATTTTGCGTGTCGAGCAGTACGTAATCCCCTGACTGGTATGTGACTGGGCGGCGGTGGCGGTCGGCGTTGCGCTTAGCGATGACGTTTGCTTTTTGAATTGCTTCTGCGGCTCTGGTGCGGGCAGCTTGCAGAATTTCGGCGAATTGCTGTGCGCGTGGTGTTGGGTTGTCCGGACTCGACGTCATGGGCACTGTAGGATTTTGCCCGTAGTTCAGGTAGAAGAGGGACTGTTGCGTAGTCGCTGACGTGGTGTTGTTGTACTCGAACTCGATCAGCGGCAGCTGCTGCTCCCAAGCCGTGGGGTCGTCGCACGTGGCACGAATCGACTGCTCCATCGTCTGATTCGTCCGCTCCGTTTGACCGTCGGTCTCGGGGTGGTACGACGAGCTGAAGTGTAGCCGTGTCCCGAACTGCTCCCAGAGGTTCTTCCAGAAGTTGCTGGTGAACTTCGTGTCCCTGTCGCTGATAATCGCTGCTGGTATCCCGTGCAGGCGAACGACGGCTGCGATGAACAGACGAGCGGTCTCCTCGGCAGAGATCGACTTTTTGCATGCAGCGAAGTGTGCCATCTTCGTCAACCTGTCAACGACGACCATCACCGCGTCGTTACCCCCAGGGTTCGAAGGTAACCCTGTGACGAAGTCCATGGTAACCTGCTGTCAGGCGCGCTCGGGCGGTGGTATCGGCTGCAATTGACCCGCCTTCCGCTTCCTCGAGCTCTTCATCACCTGACACGTGGGGCACGAGCCCACGTGCTGCTGCACGTCGGTCAACAGCTCCGGCCAGTAGTAATACCGCTGCAGTTGCTGTCGCGTTTTTTCGACCCCAAAATGTCCCGAGGTACTTCCGTCGTGTGCCTCCTGCAGTAGCAGCTCCTTCAGTAGTGAGTACGCGGGTACCCAGATGCGGTTGGTGCCTGTTCTTACGTAATAAACTCCTTTAGCTTCTGCCAGTTGCTGTGAATTTCCGGTCCTGAAAAACGGGTCTGTGCGGTATCCGTGGGTGAATAGGCCTGTTAAAAGCGGGTTGGTTTGGGCGAGTAGGATGGCATGGAGTTGGGCGGTGGGGCGAGTGAGTGCGTTGGCGATGTTGGAGGCGCCTTTCTTGTACGTAACCGTGTAGTGGAAGTTGGACTCGAGGTAGTCCAACGAGCGAATCTGTCGCAGGTTGAGATTTGGTTGGGCGCGTAGGTACTGTAGTGATCGGTGGTCTGTCCGTACTGTCACGTCGGCGCCAGTCAGGTAACACCGCCAAACCTTGAACGCGTGCACGATCGCCAACATTTCGCGGTCGTGTATCGGGTAGTTGCGTTCGGGCGGATGCAGCTTGCGGGACTCGTACGCGATTGGCTGGAGGCCGTTCCCGAAATCCTGCAACAGTACTGCTCCCACAGCGATGTCACTTGCGTCAGTGACGAGCTCGAACGGACGGTGTGGGTCTGCGATGTGAAGCACGGGCGGTGAGCACAAAATGTTTTTGAGGGCCGAGAAGGCAGCTTGCTCTTTCTCCCCCCACGTGTACTCAACCCCCTTCCTCAGCAGGTCAGTCAACGGGGCAGTCAGCTTCCCCATGTCGGGGACGAACCGGCGCACGTAGTTGACGAACCCCAAAAAACTCTGCAACTCGGTCAAGTTGGTCGGCGCGTGCCATGCTTGAATCGTCGCAATTTTCTTCGGGTCTATTTGTCAAACTCATATGCTATAGTCTGTGTAGGCTGTAGTGGGGTAGACAATATGGGGTACAACACTTCTAGGTTTTCCTACTTGTACCCACCTGCTTTCTAGTTCATTCATTCCTCATTTCTTCACATGGTACAGAGCAGGTTCCCTAGTGGGAACGCTTCCTTGGGCCCACCACTGAAACTTTTTTTTTCTGACCGGAGCGACAGTCGCTCCTGCCCGAGGCGCGCCTTGTGGGCTGCCCTTCTGTCGACCTCTCTTAGAGGCCCCTCTCACGGCCCCTCGCGCCACCCTCAGCGGCCCCGTCGCCGCCCCTAGCGGCCCCGTAGCCGCCCTTCCAGGCCCCTCGCGGCCCCTAGCGGCCCCGTCACCGCCCCTACGCGGCCCCGTCGCCGCCCCTAGCGGCCCTGTCGCCACCCCTAGCGGCCCCGTTGCCGCCTCCCTCGCTACGCGGCCCCGTTTCCGCCCCTACGCGGCCCCGTAGCCGCCCCTAGCGGCCCCGTCGCCGCCCCTACGCGGCCCCGTCGCCGCCCCTAGCGGCCCCGTAGCCGCTACCCTCCCTACGCGGCCCCGCAGCCGCCCCTACGCGTCCCCGTCGCCGCCCCTAGCGGCCCCGTCGCCGCCCCTCGCGGCCCCGTCGCCGCTGACCTCCCTACGCGGCCCCGTTGCCGCCCCTACGCGGCCCCGTCGCCGCCCCTACGCGGCCCTGTCGCCGCCCCTAGCGGCCCCGTAGCCGCTCCCCTCCCTACGCGGCCCCGCCGCCGCCCCTACGCGGCCTCGTCGACGCCCCTACGCGGCCCCGTCGCCGCCCCTAGCGGCCCCGTAGCCGCCCCTAGCGGCCCCGTCGCCGCTGACCTCCCTACGCGGCCCCGTTGCCGCCCCTACGCGGCCCTGTTGTCGCCCCTACGCGGCCCCGTCGCCGCTCCTAGCGGCCCCGTCGCCGCTCCCCTCCCTACGCGGCCCCGTCGCCGCCCCTACGGGGCCTCGTAGCCGCCCCTACGCGGCCCCGTCGCC